TTTTTTTGCTCTGAATGCCTTCAGGGCAGGTTTGGCTCGCTTGAGTTGTGGGGATCGAACCACAGCAACCTGAGCCTGACTGCTTTGTTGAAGCAGCCACTTAAAGAACCGAGCTAAGGGGCAGGCCCCAAAAGGTAGAAGGATTTTTTTTTTTTTGCTCTGAATGCCCTCAGGGCAGGTTTGGCTGGCTTAAATTGTGGGAATTGAACCACAGCAACCTGAGCCTGACAGCTTTGTTGAAGCAGCCACTTAAAGAACTGAGCTACGGGGCAGGCCCCCATGGCCCTTCATTTATATCCCTTTTTTTTGTTTAGTTTTGTCAGAGATGGGTATTCCATTGTTATTTAAATATTGTAGGTGCATGAATGCCTTAAAATAATCAACAACTTCTGACATTGCCAGTCCTATGGATAACCCACTACTATTATGAACTACATGCCCAGTCTCAATTGCCATCTCAATGCGTGCTGGGGGAAGGGACAGCACAGCAAGCCGGGGGATTGAACCCCTAGTCCCTGCACCTACTTTTAGGTGCTTTAATTGTAGTTCTATAATTGGGAACATTATGATAAAGAGATTTTCTGTACTTGGCTGGAATATTTATTAAAATATATGAATATCCAATCAGCTGCTTGCAAGCAAAGGACTTTCTCAGTTGGTCTTCTAACAATGGATCTGCTCTGAGTTATAGTTCTTAGGAATATTATGCTTTTTTTTTGGAAGCGGGGATTGAACTCAGGCCCTTGTGCTTGCCAGGCAAGTGCTTATCTACTGTGCCATCTCCCTGGCACTAGTTCTTAGGAATAATATGCTAGAAGATAATTAAGCTAACAAATGCTCACCTTTCCAACTAGTACAGGGATGTTTGTTGAGTTTGTTGCAAATCCCATCCCGAAGACCATTGCTGCTTCTACATTCAGGAACTTGGCCAAGAGGTGCTCCAGCTCCTCATGCTTATCCAGGGTACCTGCACATAAAATTTACATGGAGTGATTCTTGTCTTTCCATTAAGTCTGAGACTGAAAATGCAAATTCCAGATATTCCAAATTCCAAATATTCTGTAAAATGAACAAATACATGGGATATTTACATCCTGGAATGTAATGAACTATTGCACCACACATGATGTAGATAAATCACACAAATAATTCATTGCATGAAAGGAGTCAGACATATGGACACAATCTTTATGAGACCTATTATATAAAGGCTACAAATAGACAAAAGAAATCTGTAGTACTAGAAGCTAGTCATGTCTTTGGTTAGGAATTTGAGGTTGGTTTTGAGATTTTCTTGATGTTATAGGTCCAGATTTGGGTTCTGGCTAAACAGGAATGTGTACTTTGTAAAAATCCATTGATCTGCATGCTTACAATTGGTTCACTTTTCTACACATATTTTATAAGGCATTCAAATTTTCAAAATGTATGTGTCACAATTCCTCTTTCTTTACCCTACATCTCACAAGTGATTAGTACAATTATAATCTCAGAGGTTTCTCTCTCTTAAATGCAAATAGACCCAATGATTTCTATAGATACTAATAAAACAGTTATAGTGCCTGCACCAAAACATAGCTTTATCTTGTCTAATCTTACCAGTCGGATAGTTTACCCCCTTTAATGTTAGATGTACCATAATGCAGGTATTATTTTACACTTAAAAAAAGTGAAGCTTAATGATACCACAGAGAAAAATCAGCAAAAACAATGTAGCCTAACTCCAAAATTTTAGCTCCTTGTGATCTTCTTTATGTTTCTTTTCCAACTCCTTCTTATGCAGAATCTTCTTATGCTTTGCTGATGGAAGATGCTGATCTTTATAATATTTCCTTTTCCCCCATCTAATCTGTTCAAGCAGCGGCCAACAAATACATGTGGTTATTGTAATGGAGGAACTGAATTTTAAATTTCATTTAACTTGCATTAACTTGAATTTTAACATGAAAGTAGTGTAAAATAGTTTCCCTTAAAACAACTTTATTATTTTGATAGGATTCCATTTCACATTTAACCACTGAAACTTTAGTGTGTAAATTGAAATGTATTATATATGTATAAATCAAAAAATGCATCAATTTTTGAAAGATTAGCAATGAGAATATAAAAATAACTCATTAAAATTTTAATATTGCTCACATCTACAAGATAACATTTTGGCTATATTGGGTTAAGGAAAATGTAGTATCAATTTAATTTTACCTGTTTTAAAAAAGCTTTTAATATGACTACTGCAAAATTTTACAAAATTGCAAGGACTCTTACATTATATATTTTTGGAAGGGGTGGTATTTTCCAGATAATACACATTGCAAAGCAAAAAACATATACAAGGGAGAAATGCTGTAATTTGCATTCATAGGATGTCAAAGCTGTTACTGAAAGTTAACTGTGAGGGTACTATCAGCATATTTATGGGTATTGTAAACATACTTCTTTTAACCTAAAGGTTAACACATTTTACTATACAGAGTGGGACATCAGAATTCTATTTAAACAAATATAATTTATTTATATGAGTTTATATGAATAACTAAATTCATTTATTTAAATGAACTGCCTACTGTGGTAAAATAGGGAAAGGTTGAGATTTAGAATGTATTGGATAGTCAGTTAGAAGATTTGGACTGGTTATTACATAGGATATTAGGAGCCTGACCGTGGCACTTCGTGAGAGGTAGCACTGTTAGGATGAATATCTGGTGACCTTACTTCTCAAACACAAACTCATGTTATCCCCAAAGTTGCCAGAAGCAGATTCAATAACAGAGTCATTCTTACTCAAATTTGAGGGGGAGGTGGAGTAAAAAAATTCAAATTATAATTCCAGATTTGTATTATTGAAGTTTAAGAACATCAAGAGAAATGGACATGTAAAGGAAAAGTTGTGGGCCAATAATCATTTGTCCAGTTTGTTCTTACCTAGACGAGACTGTGTCCCAAATGGGATGGTTTCACAAAGAGTTAGTAAAGGGCTACTGACCTGCATGTGAGTTCTGGCCCCTGCACTGGCACTCACATCTGAGTGGCCTCTGGCTACCTCTCCTCATGTCTGGAGGGACTGGAAGATACTACTGTATTTTCTCTCCATAACAGAATAGTCTTCCTATCCTAGTGCCAGCTCCCATTCAGTCTTCAAAATCCACCTAAAATGTCATCTTTGCTCAGCTGCCTTTTTCAATTTCCTGAGGAGAAAACTGGCCATTTCTGCATCTGAGATTGCATCATATATATCATATGACTATGATAGTGGTTATTACAATGAACTGAGAGGTTTCTAGGGACAGTCTTTCTTATTACAGAAGGGGTCTTGAAATGCAGATTCTGGGTATGAGACTCACTGTTTTCTATAGATACTATTATGTCAGAGATACTATGACAGTATAGTAAATGTTTTGTCTTCTTGACAACAGTGCGTAGCCCAGTGCTGACATATAGTAGGTTTGTAAAATTGTTTGGGGTCTTCTGGTGGATAATGAAGATAGAGCTGAGCTTAGAGCAGGAGATGAGCTTGTACTATGATAATAGATGCCACAAAGGGCTAAGCAACAAAGTGACTGTGCAGTGGGCACTAGGATGAAAACACCTATATCCAGAAAACTCCCCTAGCAAAGGCAGAAGGCACTCAAGTGTTACCAACTTGTCGATATTCTCCATAAACCTTTCCTGCCCAGAAGGTAGGCCAAATGTCCTGGCCTACTTACATGAACCGCATGAACTGATGTTCAAGATAAATCTCCACCTTTGATCAGCCATCCATGAGTTTATCCAGACATTGCATCATTAAATGTCCTTAAGAAAATATGGGATGTGTTATCAAGCAATCAGTCCAGAAACTATGAGAATAAGTGTGTCTAAGACTACCTGGAGAGACTGCCCACTGTAAGATCTCTACTATCAGTCCCAGCTAAAAACAAAAACCAACCAAATAAACAACAGGGAGAAAGGAAATGTAGATGTCCACTGTCTAGACTGTTTGTGGATTTCCAGTGGGCAGATGGTTAATAAAGCGACTTTTAAGTAAGTCAATTTCTATGACTAGATGTCTTAGAGTTAAGAGATGAGTGATTTTGCATCTAGGGGCTTTCCTTCATTTGTAGAAAGTAATAGTCTTCAAATCCAATTACCATAGACTATCTCTGTTTAATATTCATAGCTTACATTTTATGAACAAATTTTGGGTGTTCCCAGGAGGGCTGCATGCTTTCCACTTCAGAAAAATATACCTTTGGAAGTCTGGTCTAGTCTGGGGATGAAGAGGTATTCTTTAAGACATAGTAATAATTTGGATCTTTTGATTTAATTGAATGCTGCTTTCCTGTCTCAATGCTTTGTACTCAAGAGATAAAAATATTAAAAGAACTTGGGGGTATAGTCATCACCGGAACCTTGGCTAAGTTCTTTTTCATGAACTCTCAGGACCTCCCTTCATTGAGTAAAGGCACCACATTGCAGGTGCCAGTTTGGTCCCTTAGATAGATCTATAAATTTTATTGAAAAATTTGTCTTTGGTACATACATATTCATTTTTTTAAATTACAAGAAAATAGAACTTCAATCCTAGCTGAAGTTACAAATAAATTCATAGTAATTTTTATTTTTGTTTTTGCTGACATTTTAGTTTCTGGAGGGCAATGAGAACTATCCTTGTTCTTATCCTGATGGTTTATTTATAGAGTGGGATACTCAAAGTGTTTTATGAATAAAAAAATAAATACAACTTGGATGTATACTCTTGCCAGTTCTCTAAGCAATATTTTCATATGCCAAGTACTGGATTCACTTCCATCAGACCAACCAGTAAAAATTCACTTCTTTAGGATAATGCTGGATTTGTATTGACACTGACTGGCTTATACTATTTAGGCGGAACATGGACATTGCTCATGTTCATTTTGACATATTGAGCTTGGGTGTTAACAAGACTATTTCACAATGACTAATTCTTCCTTTGTGGCTTGTGTGAAAATATTTTCCAAACTATGGCCGTTGTTGCTCTTGGCCCAGAAAATCCTTTTGGGAACTATATCTGGACTTGACCTAAGAGCAGACTATCATCTCTTTTGGGAAAGTGCCAATGATACTACCTGTGTGTTCCAATTGGCCATGGCCATAGACCTACATCTGTTCCACTTTGCTTGAAAAGTTGGGATTCCTGCATTAAGCCCAGTGTCAATCTTTGTGCCTAAATGATTCAGCTGTTGGATATTGGCCCACAGGTCTTGGATATGCTGCCTCCTTTATTCCACTTGTGCCCAGTTTGGAGGAGGTTGTGAAGAAGCTCTGTTAAGCTTAAGTGATTGTATTTTGCCAAATACTGAGAGAAAATATGATCCACTGCTATTAAAGCTAAAGGATTTTTCTAAATCACTATCATAGTGAACACTCATCTAGATCAGCACGCCTTCTATAGAGGCTCAGACAGTAAACAATTTAGGATTTTCTGGCTTTGTGGTTACTGTTGTAATTATTCAACTCTGCCACTGGAAAGCAGAAGCAGTCATGTTCTAGCAAAACTTTATAGACACTGAAATTTAAATTTCATGTGTCGCAAAATATCATACTTTAAAAAAATTTGCAGTTACGTTAAGCTGTAAAATTTATTCATAAGTTTCAGGAAATACAACAATAGGGGCACCTGGATTTGTTTAGTGACATTTGATTTTCATGGCTTCTGATTTTCGCTATGGAGCACTGTGATACAATCCAAATACAAAACACTCTTCAGCATGACTTCTCAACTACAAAGACTAGAAAACCCGACTGTCAACACAGTGAAACATTTCTGTACCTCATCTGTCTCATCTTACAGTATCTTCTGGGGGAGGAGAGGGACAGGAAACTACCAATTTTGAATTTCTGTGAGTCTGTATTTGTTTGAACACCCTAGGTATCACTTTGTTGGCCAGTATTATACTTATGTAAAATCACTGGCATGTCTTGCTAAATCATTGTGCTTTCTTGGTT